ATACTCTTTTGTGACGAGAGGTGGGTTTCTTAAACTTTAACATGGTCCAACAAACTTTGGATGAGAATTACCGAAAACTCTGCCAAATGACCCTGCATATCCGTTCTAATCTGATACCCAGCTTCTGGTCTACGGGTACAGTAGCCTTATTTTGTTCAATGAATTTCCATCGGACTTCACATCTAAAATGCGTTTCCAGTAGTCAGACTTTGACTTGTTGGGGCAAACAAGATTTTTATTATAAAACATGTAAACAGCTTGAATTTCTATTGAGCAAAATAAGGCTATACCCATACTCGTAGACTGCTTCAGGGTAAATTAAACTTTTAATATTTTGAGGGACGCCTTCAGTGAAAACGTGACTTTTCTGTCTAATTTTTTTAAATAATGAATGCACTCTGTGTCAGTCAATATTTAAACTGTTATATGATTAATCCTTGCACCCTCAAACCAGGTCAGGTGAGATCCATTTAGGCAAGTGAGTTTGTTGAATTGTGTCCTCATTTTCCAAGGTTCTGCCAAGAAAGAACAAAAGCGGAACTGACAACATGGATGAAGCCGTATATTTGTGCATATCCGACATTTAAGGACCTTCAGAGGGAGTTACGGTATTTCTTCATCACACGAGCAACCGAATTAGTGAGTTGTTAAATGAAGTATCGTGATAAATACACGAATAGAGATTCAGTCAAGTCCTAATTCCCGGCTGTTCTTAATCTAATGATATGGGCTACTGTACCGCTACCGCCGGTAGGTGTTTAATGGTACGGAGAGACAACAATATAAACTTAAAAACTACCCCGTATTTTGGTTTTTGTGTCTTTAAGATCTAAACACCAAAATAAAACGTTACATCTCCAAGCGCTTTTTAAATATCGATGTTGTGTATATTGTGGAAATCCCATCTTTTCATGTCTAATGAACGTGCCGCTCTTGGGCCAGCTGTTTGTAAAATGGATGAAGTTATCACCTGGATAGTTTTTTTCAAACGTAGAAAGAACCTGCTGACTAACTAACCTAGCATGACCAACTGATTGAGCCTTACAAATTTATTTAAAATGGTCAAAAAGAGTACATATATGTGATATATATTACAAGATTTACTTTTAAAAATTTTAGCTTTGTAACCCTTTTTCAGTTTACCCGAATTTTCGGCTGAACTTTGCCCGAACTTTTTAGTTCTCGAAATTTTTCACACCCCCCCCCTGTCCCGTACGGCTATGGAGACGAGGCAGGAAAACAGTTTTAATTTTCCTATGGCTTTTCCAATTAAACAGCTGAGAAAAAATTGGTTCATCATCTGTAGCCTTTATACTCCTGTCACATGAATCCTGTGCCCAACAGTATATTTTTGTTTGGATTTCAGCCACTATTGAGGCGAGGCCGATCCACAGATTCAGCCAACGAGCGAATAATCGCGTTGTTCATCATTAATTTTTCAATTCTAAGGTTTTTAATGCTTTCTGCACTATCACATTGAACAATTGACCGCGTTTGTTTCGCTACGGTATATAGAACCGCCAGGCAGCATAACCTCGCCGGTTTATAGATCGACTGTTATCAACAGTGTTGAATTTTTAGTGTTACTAGCCCTGTCTACGCTAGCAGTCGCGCTTGCAAGATCGCCGCTCGCGCACATAGCTTTAATCACGCGAGTACGAATTTCTTTCGCATTCTTTCCATCAACTACCAGGAACGTTTTGTTTTTTAGCCGGGAATCGTAACACCTTCCGCCTCAAAAAGTCTCTTTTCATTTGCTGGCGATGACCACGTTCCTCAGTGTAGGATAAGACCATCCCTTACGAATTCTTTCAAGCTGTACAAGCTAATTGCGGGTACTTCATCATAAATATGTTCACTATATTAAAGAACGCTGACTCAATGTATACTAAAAACGCTCGCTCCTATGAGCTACCCGTCTAGCTCAATAGCAACATCATTGCACCGGCATCATGAAGGAGAAGGTTCGATTTCTGCCGAGGGCCACTTCTCGGAGGCATCAGAAAGTTTGCTAAATTTTTTCTCCTACTCTAGAACAAATTCAACATAAACGTAACATAACCCTTTTGCGTTGAAAGATGAGGGTAGCTAAATGGGTAAGAAGCGCTTGCATTGTTTGTCGTGAAGCAAGGAATACCTTTTTATTATTATACTTTATAATAAAATATTACGAAATATTATCATCGTTATTTTTCTTATGACAAATGAATAATATTTCCCAGAAAATGGAGACAAACACGTGTCAATATAATAAAACATCCTTATGTTATAGCTATACGCCATGTAAATAAAGATCATACCTCAGCGATCTCTCTCTGAATCATACCGCTGATTTCTCCTGTAAAAATTAGAACGTTTATAAGCCTATTAAAGTACTACCTTAATTCTCCATTTCCAATTCATTCTTTAAATCACAGAACATTCCACGAAAGAGAAACTCTAATTTATACCTTAAATGAGATCTGAGAATCATTAGAATTCATATTCCTGGACAGACGGGAAAGAAAATGCATGAATGTTAAAAAGTTTCAAACAAAAAAACGAAGATCGAAGCACGGTCTAACACGTTTAGAGAGTGACACACAGAATTCAATTCTAGGCCATTCATAAGCCTAGATGTGAAGGAGTTACAGGAAAATTCTGGTTACAAAGCTGTGATTTGACGTGGTACGTGCGTTGGGGAGTTACCCGCGCGTTTTTATTTGCGCGCGCGTTTACTTTATTCGTTGCGCTAAGCTGCCTTATTTCAGTATGGTTGGATTTCAACTCTTAAATCAAATATAAAAACGTCCAGTTTACTTCCTCGCTTTCGAAAGTGAACTAAATTCTCTTCCTTTCAAAACACAAGTGGAACTGTGGAAACACTTTTCTCTCTTTATATTTTATATATTAAGCCACTTAAAAATACGCAAAATGAACTAAGACAAAAAAATATATGTAATAAACCACAGTGTTTTTACCCAAAATCGTAAAATCTTATATATACTTACATATTTCCTCGATAATTTCAATATAGAATATTGAACCACAATATAACAACGCTTTTGAAAACAATTTGCAACGAACTATTCGCGAAATGCGAGCCTCTCGAAAAATTTCGACAAGTGAGCGGACCTTTGTTGACGTGGATAATTAATACTTTTGCGCACGCGAGTTTTGGTGAGCAAGCGAGACATTGAGTCAGCGTTCGGCAATATCAACAAAAAGAGCGCGTGATAATAAGAATTTTTTTTCGAAAATCAAGTAGTGAACATATTTAAGCTGAAGTACCCGCAATTAGCTAGTACAGCTTGAAGGAGTTCGTAAGGAATGGTCTTATCCTACAAGGAACGTGGTCATCGCAAGCAAATGAAAAGAGACTTTTTGAGGCGAAAGGTTTTACGATTCTCTGGCTAAAAAACAAAAGGTTCCTGGTAGTTGAGGGAAAGCATGCGAAAGCATGCATTCGTACTCGGGTGATTAAAGCTATGTGCGGCGATCTTGCAAGCGCGACTGCTAGGGCTACTAACACTGAGAATTCAACAGTGTTGATGACAGTCGATCTATAAACCGGGGAGGTTATGCCGCCTGTTGGTTCTATATAACGTGGTGAAACAAACGCGGTCAAGTGTTCAATCTGATAGTGCAGAAAGCATTGAAAACCTTAGAATTGAACAATTAATTATGAACAACGCTACTATTCGCTCGTTGGCTGAATCTGTGGATCGGCTCGCCTCAATAGTGGCTGAAATCCGAACAAAAATATGCTGTTGGGCACAGGATTCATGTGACAGGAGTGTAAAGGCTACAGATGATGAACCAATTTTTTCTTAGCTGTTTAATTGGAAAAGCCATAGGAAAATTGTAACTGTTTTTCTGCCTCGTCCCCATAGCCGTACGGGACAGGGGGGGGCAAAATTTCGAGAATAAAAAAATTCGGGCAAAGTTCAGCCGAAAATTCGGGCAAACTGAAAAAATTTAAAAGTAAATTATGTAATATATATCACATATATGTATTCTATTTGAACATTTTAAATAAATTTGTACGGCTCAATCAGTTGGTCGTAATAGGTTAGTTGGTCAGTAGGTCCTTTCTACGTTTGAAAAAAACTATCCAGGTGATAAGTTCATCCATTTTACAAACAGCTGGCTCAAGAGCGACACGTTCATTAGACATGAAAAGATGGGATTTCCACAATACAGACAACGTCGATATTTAAAAAGCGCTTGGAGATGTAACGTTTTATTTTGGTGTTTAGATCTTAAAGACACAAAAACCAAAATACGGGGTAGTTTTTGTTCAAGTTTATATTGTTGTCTCTCCGTACCATTACACACCTACCAGCGGTAGCGGTACAGTAGCCCATATCATTAGATTAAGAACAGAGGGAAATTAGGACTTGACTGAATCTCTATCCGTGTATTTATCACGATAGTTCATTTAACAACTCGCTAATTCAGTTGCTCGTGTGAAAAAATAGCGTAACTCCCTCTGAAGGTCCTCAAATGTAGGATATGCAAAAATATACGGCTTCATCCATTTTGCCAGTTCCGCTTTTTTCTTTCTTGGCAGAACCTTGGAAAATGAGGACACAATTCAACAAACTCGCTTGCCTAAATGGATCTCACCTGACCTGGTTTGGCGGTGCAAGGACTAATCATATAACAGTTTAAATATTGACTGACACAGAGTGCATTCATTATTTAAGAAAATTAGACAGAAAAGTCACGTTTTCACTGAAGGCGTCCCTCCAACAAAATATTAAAAGTTTAATTTACCCTGAAGCAGTCTACGGGTATGGGTATAGCCTTATTTTGCTCAATAGAAATTCAACCTGCTTACATGTTTTACAATAAAAATCTTGTTTGCCCCAACAGATCAAAGTCTGACTACTGGAAATGCATTTTAAATGTGATGTCCGATTGAAATTCGTTGAACAAAATAAGGCGACTGTACCCGTATGTAGTGTGATATAACAAATAGTAACTCACTAATATTACTTATTACTAATATTAACTAATGACGTCAGGATGTATATAAACTAAGTGTATTGACATTATAGGGTATTATTGTTCGAGACATAATTGCACATGGTGGCAGCGCTGGGATATATACAAAATTAGCTATTTAGAAATATGGCAGAATCAAGCAACAACGACGAAGAAAATATTGTGCGAAGTTTTACAACGTATCAAATAACACCGCCGTCAAAGTTTAGCTTTCAATCGTCGGAATGGACCCGATGGATTCGCCGATTTGAGCGGTTTAGAATTGCTACAGAACTCGACAAGAAAGACGAAGAGAAACAAGTCAATGCGCTTATCTACACTATGGGCGATGAGGCAGACGATATAATCACATCGTTTGGCCTCAGCGACGAGGAGATCAAAAGCTACGAAACAGTTCGAAACAAGTTCGAAAATCACTTCATCACTAAACGAAATGTGATTTTCGAAAGAGCGAAATTTAATGTTCGAGCTCAAGACGAAAACGAACCCGTGGAAAGCTTCATTACCGACCTACATTGCGTCGCCAAGTACTGTGAATTTGGGGTACTGAAAGATCAATTGATACGAGATCGTATCGTAGTTGGACTGCAAAACAAAAAACTATCGGAGAAGTTACAATTAGATCCAAATCTAACTCTAGAGAAAGCTATGTCTCAAGCAAGACAAAGCGAGGAAATCAAAAAGCAACAAAGTGTTATTCACGGAGAAAAAGTCACAGGAAGTAACGAGCACAATATCGACAACATATCTAAGAATAGATAGCAACAACGTTCCCGTGAAGGTCAGTTTACTCAGAGTACTAGTAAACACAGCAAATTTTACAAGCCCAAATGTTCACGGTGTCTCGGAACACCACACCCCAGGCAATTGTGCCCAGCAAGTGAGTCCATATGTCATAATTGTTCAAAGAAGGGACATATGGGCAAAGGCATGTCGAAGCCAAACGGGCCAACAATTCCGAAAGCAAGAAATAAACGAATTAAATTTCAGGCAAGAAAACAGGGAGGAGAATTTGTCAGAAGATGAGGCATATTTCTTGGGTGAAATATTACTCCTAGACACTGTCGGCAACACTAGCAGTAAACCGTGGACTGCAGACATCAAAGTAAATGAAGAAAACATCAGATTCAAAATCGACAGTGGCGTTGATGTCACAGTGATACCATTAAGAACATTTCAACAACGAAAACTACCTCTAAAGCTCGACTCGACTAGAAAAGTCCTAATGGGTCCATGTAAGCACAAGCTGAACTGTATTGGAACATTCGCATCGCAGCTCCGACACGAGGACCAGACAACGACAGAAGAAATATTTGTCGTGAAAGGCTTAGAAAGACCACTACTCGGAAGGCAAGCATCCCAGAATCTGAAGCTAATCAATCAAGTCAACGTGGATGTACTAAAAAAGGTTGAAACAGAAAAAACCATAAGAGAAAAGCGTCCCAATCTCTTCACTGGTCTCGGACAAATTAAAAACCTAGAATACGATATCAAAATCACTCAAGATGCAATCCCGTTTGCCATCACAGTACCACGACAAGTACCGATTCCACTCCGCAAAGAAACTCAACGAGAAATAAAAAGAATGGAACAAAACGGAGTGATATCGCGAATTGAAGATCCGACTGAATGGTGCGCCCCGATGGTGGTAACACCAAAAAGCAATGGAAAGGTTCGGATATGTGTAGATCTCACGAAGCTCTCAACCAGTACGTACAACGCGAAAACCACCCACTACCAATACCCGAAACAACATTTGCAAACCTTGCTGGTGCTCGGCATTTCTCAAAATTAGATGCGAACTCGGGATTCTGGCAAATTAGACTGTCAGAACAAGCAAGACCTCTCACAACGTTCATCACCCCATGGGGACGATATTGCTTTAACGTTCTTCCCTTTGGAATAAGCTCAGGCTCTGAAAAGTTTCAGAAGTGTATGTCTCAAATCCTCGAAGGTTTAGAAGGTGTCGAATGCAACATTGATGATGTTCTAATATATGGTACAACACAAGAGGAGCACGACCAAAGATTGGAAAAGGTACTCCAACGACTCGGCGATGCCAACGTCACCCTTAATCCTGAAAAGTGTGTATTCAACATCCCCAGCGTGAAATTTTTAGGTCAGATTGTTGGATCTGACGGCATAAAACCAGACCCAAAGAAAATACAAGCAATCCTGAAAATGCCACCACCAACCAACATACATGAAGTCCGTTCCTTCCTTGGCATGGTGAATCAATTCAGCAAATTTACCACCAATCTCGCCGTCATGACAAAACCCATTCGCGAGCTGCTGGTCAAAAATATCGCATGAACATGGGGACCTCCACAACAAAATGCCTTTGACAAAATCAAGAAAACCCTGTCATCAGCACCAGTTCTGACCTTGTATGACCCCAAGAAAGAAACAAAAATAGCAGCTGATGCTTCGTCATATGGCCTAGGAGCGGTAGTTCTACAAGAAGAGCCGGGTAACTGGAAACCTGTATCATTCATTTCAAGATCGATGACAGCAACTGAGACTAAGTATGCGCAAATAGAAAAAGAGGCTCTGGCGGTTACTTGGGCATGTGAGCGGTCAAGCAACTACATAATTAAAAAGGCGATAATAATAGAAACTGACCATAAACCACTGGTTCCCCTGCTAACCCAACACACGGTCGACAAACTACCTCCAAGGCTACAACGCTATAAGATGAGACTCATGAGATTTCACATCAAGCAAGTCCGACACGTGCCTGGAAAACTACGCTACACAGCTGACACTTTGTCAAGAAAAATACCTGAGGGCACAGCTCAACCAACGATAGCAGAACAGGAAATGAATACCTACATCTCCAGTGTAATGGAAGCACTCCCGGCATCAAATCCAAGATTGAAACAAATACAACAAGCTCAAGATGAGGATGAGGTATGCAAAGAAGTGAAGAAGTACTGCATGGATCAATGGCCAGACAAGGATCATGTCACCCGGGCAGTAAAACCATACTGGTCAGTACAAGGAGAACTCACAATTGTTGACGGGTTATTACTAAAAGGAACAAGACTAGTTATTCCATCCAATCTTCAACGCCAAACCCTTGCCCAAATACACCAAGGTCACCAAGGGATTAACAAATGCAGAGAACGAGCCAAGATATCCGTTTGGTGGCCAGGACTTAGTGCACAAATCAAAACTATGGTTGAAAATTGTACACCTTGCAGCAAGCACAGACAACAGCATGCAGAACCGTTGATCCCAACGCCACTCCCAGCAAGACCATGGCAACTGATCGCAACAGACTTGTTTATTCTAGAAAAGGTGACCTATCTACTAGTGGTAGATTATTATTCTCGATATGTTGAAGTTGTGGCACTAACCAAAGATACAAGTTCAACAAAGATAATACAAGCTTTAAAAGCCATCTTCGCCAGGCACGGGATTCCGGACGAAGTACGTTCCGACATGGGCCCCAATACCACAGTGACGAGTTCGCCCAGTTTGCAAAAGAATGGGGATTCAAGCATAGTACCAGTAGTCCTCGCTATCCTCAAGCGAATGGAGAGGTAGAACGGGCAGTAAGGACAGTGAAAAATATCTTGAAGAAAGAAAAAGATCCCGCAAAAGCAATGTTAGCATATAGATCAACACCATTAGCAAGTGGATATTCGCCAGCGGAACTCCTCATGGGGAGAAAGATAAAATCAACAATACCAATAATGACACAACAGCTCACACCGCAGCTACCAAACCAGGAACTTTTTAAAGCAAAGGAAGAAGAATATAGATTGAAACAGAAGAAGAATTTTGATAATCGCCATAATGCTCGAACCATGAAGCCTTTGACATCAGGAACAACAGTTTATGTGACAGATATGAACTGCACAGGAACAGTAATCAAAACATCCAACAAACCAAGATCATATTTGGTTGACACCCCTATGACGGTTATAAGAAGGAACAGAGCACATCTACGTAGTATTCCAAATCACACCATAATTCAGCAAGTCGACAAGAAACAAGAGAAACAGGAAGACCCACCTAATACGAATACGAACAACAGACCGAAAAGAATAAAAACACTTTCTTTAAAGGCCAGAGAGAATCTGGGACTAGAATAACTAAGTACCGTATGGCATTAGCTATAAAGACAGAACAATACAGTCGTTGACATTATGTTGACAAATCGAAGAAAAGGGAGATGTAGTGTGATATAACAAATAGTAACTCACTAATATTACTTATTACTAATATTAACTAATGACGTCAGGATGTATATAAACTAAGTGTATTGACATTATAGGGTATTATTGTTCGAGACATAATTGAACACCGTAGACCAGAAGCTGGGTATCAGATTAGAACGGATATGCAGGGTCATTTGGCAGAGTTTTCAGTAATTCTCATCCAAAATTTGTTGGACCATGTTAACGTTTAAGAAACACACCTCTGGCAACAAAAGAGTATGGCTCCATAATCTTCTTTATGACGTAATGCACGACCGATGGCTTGATTGACAGCTCGAGATGCCTGCTGACCATACCACTGTTGACCATTTAATCCCTGGAAATACAAGATTATGAGTGAAATAGTACCTACATTTGTTTCTGACTCAGAAGAAGTTTATCAAACTTTTGTGGTAGTGATGGTATAAACAATGATATATGACTTTGAGATTACAGTCACGATTTGAATTGACAGAGCTTCAGATAAAATTCTCAGCACAAAAGTTTCCCTATTTGAATACGGGCTAAATTGACTTTTGAGTCTGGAATTGCCACATATTCCTGGTTTCGTATAGGATTGTAAAACCACAAAGCAATTTTAAAGAAATTATGATGATTAGAACCACTTTATAACCAACCTTAAAATCTCTTTTTTGTTTACCACCTCATCTAGGAATTGTTTTTTCCAACACCTGAAATGCGGGGGAAAACAAAAAAAATGTTTTTGAACTTTGGAAAAGATGTCTAGAGATAATAGATTTTTACCATAACTGGGGTAATAATAACTGATTATTGACCGACGGATATGTGTTTCATGACCAACCAATCAGAGTAGAGATCTTGAAAAGCCATATTATTAATAAATCAAACTTGAGTAACCACAAATCCCAACGTATTCCTATTATCGACTGAACAATAATCAAAAGACTCATTTCCCAATTTATTTTTGCGAATATTAAAACAGCATTAGCTAGGTTGTTAATCGAAAACCAAACCTTTGGATCAAAATCCGGTGGATAAGGTAAACCAGTTGTGACGACAGCACGACCGTTGATATCACTGAAGTCAACACCTTCGCTGAACTAAACGTGAGAAACACACGAGTTTCTTGTAAAACATCTGAGGCTTGTATCAATTCTTTTTACGATCTGCTATCAGGATGTGTTTGACTTGTATGTTTCGATCATAGTTTCATGTCCATAGCTCGTTTCATGTCCAAGCTCTACGAAATTAATCCTAACTTTTAATTTCCAACCTCACCCTAACTCTTACCCAACTATTTATAATAGAGGGTTAGAATCAAGGATTATATTTGACTCTGGACATGAAATTACTACGTGTTTCCACCAAATCTGACAAGATTTCAGCAGATCAAAAAGACCAAGAGCTTATTACTGTACAAAGTTTTAAACCTGACAAGCTGTCTTAACTTTCTGTGTTTAATGACTTTGGTATTAATACGTTGGAAAAGTGCGGTAAACACCATACCTTTCCTAGGCAAACGGCAAGAAACACAGCACCCTTGTTCTCTGGATTGCAGACTTTTTCATAAAATCCTTCCATTGCCTAAAACAGACCATAAATCCTAAGATAACCTCAATCAGCCTGTTCATTAAGAATAATTTAGTTGAACATAACCTACAGATCAAAATGACCCGTTTTTCGTCGTGGTAAAAACGTACAGATGAACTAACTTATTTAAAAAGCCTAGTTTTAAGATTTCGCTGCATGGAAGAGAACCTAACTCTGTAAATTCCCTTTTCCGTCTGGGCTCAACAAAAAAGTTTTCTTGTCTCAAGTCCATAGACCAGAACTCTTACAAAACAAAGAATAATCATTGTGAATTAACGTAACGGGCTAAGATATGAAACATCGTTCCTATCAGTTTCGTCAACAAAAGGCGGTGGAATTTCGACCTAAGGCTAAGGAAGAACTAACAAAAGGTCCAGTAAGATTAATCTGTATAAAAATCACATTAGTGTTAGAGACGAACAATTCGTCTGGACGAACTTGGGAAAATATTTTTAATTCGTCTGTTAATTCGTCCGCGTATCAGAAACTACACCATCGTTAAATCTATAGGTATGCTTGCCAATGTTCCAGTGTTGTATGAACGGTCCCATAGGACGGGGAAAACACCAGTATCCCATCAGGAACAACCTATGCAAATTTACTGCAACAGTCTTGCAAATTTAGTCTTGTTCCGGCCTGTTGAAAGCTTGCGTGTGAACAGTCGAGGGGACTGCTTTTTTAGGGCAAAGTTTCTTTGTCCTAAGTGGCGAAAATTCAGACGAGTCAGACAATCAGTCAGTCATTCATAGTGTAAACTTTCCGGGGGGTAGTTTGATTTACGCTTATAGTAATTTTTTGTACATGATCAGAAATGTAACGTTTTTAAATCAGTTTAACTTGTTTTATTTTTTTATTTATCATCCATCCCTTTTCCTTTGGTGGTATACAGTATTAATTGATAATTATATTGCTTTGTATTCACATCATAGACATAATATTCACCGCGGTTTTTATTTCCATTATTTACAACGCAACTATTTTGGCTATTCTTTGGAAATGACGGATCAGTTGTTGCCATCATATACATGTAGTTGATGTAGTCACAGTTGTTTGACGAAGAGATGAGACATGGTGTTTTTTGCCAAACCCTATAATACTAAACTGATAAAATAACGCCCGCTTTGCATGAGCAACTAAAATTATAATCTAGTATTACAATATCGGGGCTAACGTAATTCAAGTACTTTGAGTAATCTCCCATTTGATTTAGGGTAATGTTTAACCTAGTTCTTTATATTTTTACTGGCATAAGTTAAAACGTTTATGTTGGGACAAATGTCTGGTTGCTTAGCACTATCTATATAACTTTGAACTATCCTTGGACACCTATAGTTTCACTTTAGTTTGGTTCACACTTAGAACATGCAGATCCATCCTATGAAAGTCGTCACAATAAATATTTGTTTGCAGCAAATGATACTAACAACATACCAGTTGCATTTTAGAAGATGAATTCCGAATACATGTTGAAATTGGCCAGATCATATAACATGGGCCCTCCTGAAAACCGTCCCAGCCTACAAAGCCGGCTCAAGAAGATGCAACCTCTGCCTTGAAGAGAAGCTATACGTAATGAAACGCAAAACTAAATCACTGCTGAACAAACGCTCGGAACTTTTCACTCGATGTAGACACGTGACCCGATACCTTATTTCACGATGTATATATAGAGAATAGCAACAAGACCTGCCATTAGCCTGATGATCGCTTTATAGCGTGAAACTCCGGTAGCTTAAGCTAGTCAATAGATATATCTTTCCTCTGCCGGTAATGGTATTGAGCGCTCTTCAACCATTGTCAAGTTCTGTGAACTCTTCGTTACAGTTATTACTATTATATATATATACAGTCGTTATCAAAAAGGTTGTCCCTATCAATATTATAATACAAATATATATCAATCACGTGAGCATTAAACATTGTTTATTTCGCTCATTTTTCTTGTTTCTTTTTATTAGTTAACCTTACTATTATATTTATGAAATTTTTAACAAAGATTTTCACGGATTTCCCATAAAATTAACGTATGCAGTAAAATCACGTGACTGATATTTACGTATTTATATCAATATGACAACCTTTTGATAACGTACGATCTATAATATATATCTATATTTATATATATATATATATTATATATATATATAATATAATAATTTATTATATATATATATAATATATACCCATTTGCAAAAACGTTGGCCGCAGATAGATATATAGATAGATACTCAAATCTAATTAGAATTGCATATGTTGTGTAATATGAATGAAATCCCATGCAAATGTAATCATATGCAATTCTAATTAAAATTTGAATATTTTATCTCTAATTAGACTTTGAATATTAATCTATAGAATATATATATATATATATATATATATATAATTATATATATATATATATATATATATAATATATATATATATATATATATATATATATATATATATATATTCATATATATAATATATATATATACGTTTGGACATTTTTAATATATAGTTTTATTAAAATTTAATGTCTGAAGAAGAACTGTTAACCATTCAATAATACACCAGACATGATACCTCAAACACCTTCATATATATTATATAATATATATATATTAATATATATATATATATATATATATATAATATATATATATATATATATATAATTATATATAATATATATATATATATTATATATATATATATAATATATATATAACAATTATAAATACAATTCTTTTAATTAGTTGCTACTTTAAGTTTCATGCACTTAAGCAA